TCGAAACTACTTTCCCATTGCTGAACTTTTGCTAACTTTTTGCTATTGTTACCAAAAAGTATAACATCGCGTCTATATTGTTCAAGTTCGTCTATTATGAAACAGCTTCAACCTTCCGCGAATATAATGAATTGATTTATTTGTGGAACAAAATGTAAACCCTACGGCCTAGTATTGCGAATTAACAAATCGAAAATATAAAAAACGGAAATAAAATTTGTCCAGATTTATACAAGATCTGAAAACTAATTTGTGTCGCAGCTGTTCGAAAAAGGTCGATTCAATTTGCTCAAAATGAAAGACTGCGGAAAGAGATAATGAATGAATTTGAAATTTCTGAAGTTTGTTCATTCGAACATTAATTTTATAGTACGATTTTAAGATGTTCTAAGAGATATTAACCAACTATCTGCATAATCTTCTTAAAGCGCACATGTCGTGCGTCATTATCATCTTCATTAATCGAAGACTAGATTGAGCCTATCCAAACTGAGCCTATCCGTTGAATACTTCTGTTACCCGAGGGTGAAAAGTCTACACGCGATATTCGCATCACTAGTAATAACACAGTGTTTAGTCCGGTGCCATAAAACTTTATATACTTGTACGTCACGAGTATACTAATGTTCCACAGCGAAGAATAAATTCGAGCCGCATTTGATCTCACTCACAGATTTCGGTTTTTACGATGATCCTTTGTGCAGCGTATTAGAATAATTAAAACTGAAATAACATTTGTCTACATTAAAAATCATATTTGTCGTTGCTGGTAAAACATTCGTGTACACATTAAAATTATATAAATAAGCAGACTCTAGAATTATTTCTGTATCTCGATTGAGTCATACGGATCTGTAGATGCACGAAAGCTTGTATCAACAATTTCTTGATATAGATATTCAGTTTACTTTCGCGTCATAAACCATCCTTATCAGTCTTCTTACCAAAGTCTATAGTCAGCATTTCATAAATTAATTTGCATGACTTTTTATTCTGTTCTCGACAGTTATTTGTACATTGCGAATTTTTGTGCAATTGATAAAGTACAGTGGATGAATCATGACTAATATTATTTATTGCACAAATCGGTAAGAGTCTATTCCAGTCTTATAAGTAAATAATTTCGTTATTCGAGCATCAACCGAAATTCTACAGTACATGAATTTATTAAAATAAATAATATTTTTATCAGAAGGAATTTT